AGCACCCTCTCTTATTTTCTCTTCCGTCACTGTGCTCAAACTCTTCCCGTCTCTTTGTCTTCTTTCTAATTCTGTATTTATGTATTTATAGATTTAAGTCTAGTTTGCATAGGAAAGAAAATGTCACTCTTTTGTTCCTGAGTCTGGCTTAATTCACCTACTACCATGACCTTTCTCATCCATTTTCTTGCAAATGTCATTCATCCTTCTTTGTTTTTTGAATAAAATTGATCATTTGTATATACCATATTTTGTGTTTGTCCATCTCGGGATTCAAGTCATGACTGATTCCAAATTTGTCTATAGTGAATAAAGCTGGATTAATCATGGATAAGTGGGTATTTCTGTGGTATGCTGAATTAGATTTCTAGGCTCCTGTTTTTTGATGAATACTAATTTCCACAATGGTTGCTTTTATTTATAATCTATGAGCAGTATGCAGTGTTTCTTTTCCCTATATCTTCACCAGGATTCCTATGTCTTATTTGAAATGTGGTAGCCATTGTAATAGGCATGAGATAAAATCAATATGGATTTGATATCCATTTCACTGATGTTAGGGCCCTTGAACAATTGTTTATGTCTGCTGGCCATCTATAACTTTTTATCTGTTGAGAAAACATTTGCTCATTTTGTTTGTTCTGTTTTGTTGGATTTTTAAAATTATTTCTTTTATCATTGTTGAGATGACAATATAGACTACTTAATTTCCCCCTTCACGTTCCTCTTTTCAAATCCTCCCAAATGCTCCTCCTTATTCTTTTTCAAATTCATGGTATTCTCTTTAAATTGTGTTGTTACATAAATGTATAAGTACATAAATATGCATATTTTTAAATACATAAGTTCAACCTGCTCAGTCTATATAATGTTACTTGTATATATGTTTTTGGGAAGAGCACACTGATTAGTTATCCAATACCAAGTGGAATTTTTTGGTGTTTGCTTTTTTGAGATCTTTTAATATTCTAGGTATTAATTCTCTGTCAGGTATATCAGCCCATTTTCAGATGTTTTCCTGGCTGTTAGTTAGCAAATGTCTTGTTACGGCCCTCAAATAGATTCATGTGAGTTCAATTGCTTAGTTTTTTAAAAGCCAGGAGTAAACAAAGACAAAGTCAATTCCAGGAAGATTACCAAAAAATCCACAATAGACATAGCACAATTACATTAACGTACACTAATGAGTCTCAGAGAGACAGGTTCTTAAAAGTCCCAAGGCCATTTGTGGAATAATATGCCACTAGTTTGTTTAGGTACTAAGATTAATCATCCTTATATTATTGAAAGAGTTTATCATTCAGAATCATGATAGTTGATTATTTCTTCTTATGACCAGATAATCAAGGTTGTAAATCTTATCACCCAAGTAAATGATCTATAATTAGTAATCATGTGCATTAACAAACAAGTGAAATGATATAAACATTATCTAAAGATACAGAGGTAGCACATTAAGCTCAGAAACATGATGTCCTAAATTCAACCTCCACTACTGTCAAAACAACAAAAATCCAATAAAGTAAAGCACTTGCTTATATGCTAGAACATAGAAAATCATCCTCTGCAGAGCCTGCAGGAGTCAACCTGTAGTTGTGACACTTTGTTTCTCTCTCCCAGTGAGAGCAAAAATGCAGTGAGTCCATCAAAGTGCTACTTGTAGTTCAAAGTCCAAGATCATTGAATAATGCCTGGGGACTCTATGATATGCCTGGACCACAGAAATCCTCCCTCTCTCCTCTGATAGAGCCCTCTCCCTCTCTTTCTCTCTCTTTCTGTCTCTCACTCTCTCTCTCCCTCACTCCTCTCTCTCCTCTCTCTCTCTCTCTGTCTCTCTCTCTCTTTCTCTCTCTCTCTTACTCTCTCCCTCACTCCTCTCTCTCTCTCCTCTCTCTGTCTCTGTCTGTCTCTCTGTCTCTCTCTCTGTGAGAGAGAGAGAGAGAGAGACAGAGAGAGAGAGAGAGAGAGAGAGAGAGAGAGAGAGAGAGAGAGAGAGAGAGAGAGACTACAGGATTCGACAAATCATGAAGTTATATATACTAAGGATATCGAGTATGATTGGATATTCAAATATTGGGCCTTTTATTCCTCCCTTGGCTTAGCATTTAAAAAAGCTTTTCCAACTGTGTGTACTTTGAGTCTATAAATTCTCTACAATAGAGTCAAAGGTTAACTTCTTCCCAGGCTGCTAATTCCTAAGCTGTCTACAAGGTTTCGGGGCATGCATTGTATTCCATTCATGAGCTCTAGCTAAGGGCAAAGGATTATGTGATGCTGGCTAGATAAGGATCAATGGTAACCTTCAGCTCTAAAAGCCCCAAGTTTCTGCACTCTCAAAACTTTCTCCTATTCTTGTTCATTAACAGACACCTACTTTTGTCTGAGATTATTACTTAGTTACATTACCTTTGAAAAGAAAGCATTCAAAATTATCAACTTGTATTTTAAGCAGTCTCCTTTCCAACTAACTATTTAACATAGCTCTTTGGGGGATATTATCTGCATTCTACTTTATTACAAATAATAGATTTCGCCCCAAAATGCTTCCCATGGTAAAACAATAACCATTTCTCTAGCTTCTGATAACATTGTTTTCTGCTAATCACAGTTTTCAAATAGAATGCTATGCAATGTAGATTGAGTTCTTGTCATTATAACATCTAATTTCTATCAGAGATTTCTGTATTTTTCTGGACAAGGAGGACATGCTGGTTACAAGTGAATCCCAACTATTAGTGGTTCACAGTAAAAAACAGATAAATGTAATTCTGTGCATCTTTGTTAGCTGAAAGTCAGACTCATGTGTTTTGCATTCCAATAAATTAGCAATAAGTCATGTGACTAATGTCCGTACTGCTCTAGTTCACTTAAACAGTACCTAAGTTCAGGGGTGCAGAGAGAACAACACAGAGTAGGGGAGCCCAATGGTGGCATACAGGGTGACAGTGTGCAATAACAATCATGTTTAATGGGCACAAATCTACAAGGTACTCAGTTTTCACTTACATGTGTCATGGATCCCACTAGGGACATTATTTTTAAGAAATGGGAAAGTTAATATGGTTTTAAATGCCAGATTACCTTCTGGTGCAGAACTCTCAAAAGAAAGTGGTATCTATGGATTCTAATGGTTCTCATTATAAAAATACCAAGTCCACACAGGTAAGTCCTGATCACCATATCTTGCTTTACCATTGCTACTATGATGAGTTCTACTTCATTTGATTTGCTCTAAAGAGGTCTTCCTCTTCTAGGATATGAACAATCACTGTGAGTTACAAGGCAGATTTCATAACCACAGAAACAAGAAGGCTTACTGGGATTCTCTTTTTTCAAGAAAGGAAATTCTGAAATATCACCAATCAGTCTCCTACAAACCTATGCATCATCTTTTGCAAAAATTGCAAAATGCCCTTCAAGAAAGCATGTTACTGTCCCACAATCTGTACTTCTATTTAGAACTTGCACCTATCATCAACTAGGTCCTGACTTCTACATATGAAGTAAGGGTAATATTTCTATGGCATTTCTCTCAAAGGGAAAATGAAATTGCAAAGCCTTGCCTTATTTTTTCCTTTTCTTTTGAAGATATTCAAGTTATTAATGAACTGTTAGAGTTCTATGAGGCAGCACCTTGCATCTTCAGGGTATTCAGTACCATTCTAGTTCCTCAGAAAAGCTCAGAAATTAATATTCAGATTATGGAAAAAGAAGTCCTTCAGAGCTACTGTGATAATCCTACTTGTGTGTTAGATTTCTAAACACTCATTTAAGCCATAAGTTTTCTACTCTGCTTTGCTTGGTGTGTCTTCTTTTTCCCTTGGTAACCTTGTACTTCAACATTTTTCTGTCAAATAAATCTGAGGCTTTTAATCTTCCATCTTTTCATTTCTCCCTACCTCTTCACCTCCCTTGTCAAATGCATGAGAAATCTTCAAATATGTGAAGAAAGGATGATGTTTGAGTACCACTTGATTTTAGAAAGTGGGTGTAAATAGCACAATGCACTTGCTAGATCCTGGGAAGAAGTGAGATTCTCAGTGCATAATACCTTTCAGAAAATGAAGTTTAAGGTTCAGCTGTAAGTCTTTAACTACAGGGAAAGATAGAAATTGTGTAGATACACTTCCTCCATCCAGTACCACCCCACACTGGAGGTGAGATGGATGGAATTTAAATGTGGAGCATATCTATAGAGCTTTAGTAAGAATTTAAACTGGTGTCTGTTAGAGATGCTATTCTTTCCCTACATAGAAAGGAGGGGGCAGAGACATTAGAAACAAAGATATGTTTGTTATCAGTGGAAACAATTGCTGGATTGATACTGAAGAACATTTGTCATCTCCTGGCCATAAGGAATATGGTTTCTGAATCTCACATGTGCACTGAGTTAAAGTTAACATCACCTTAAGCACAGTGAGGCATGGAAAAATGAAAGACCTTGTGCCAAATGCCTATACCATGTACTTTAATAACTATATCTCAATGGAATCTATCAACCTTCAGTTTAGGTTTGAGCATTCAAGCTTACTATTATTAGTATACAAAGCTTATTTCCTGTATGTATTTGAAATTTGTCCCTTTAATATAGACCCAGTAACAGCCCAATGATAACTGCACATTACCATGTGATTGATGCTTAATGTCATTGGGCTTCATCAGAGTTCAGAGTAAATTCGATACTTCATTAAAACTCATGGACTTTTATTTATGAAATCAAAGTTTAGCATTGAATCAGGTTTTGCAGATTCAAGATTTGTTTTGTTTTGTTTTGTTTTTGTGGGTTTTTGTTTTTGTGGGTTTTTGTTTTTGTTTTTGTTTTTAGGGCAATGTCCCTCTGTTAAAAATATATTAAAAAGAAAGACTCAAACCATTAAAATTCTCTCTCTCTCTCTCTCTCTCTCTCTCTCTCTCTCTCTCTCTCTCTCTCTCTGTGTGTGTGTGTGTGCAGGTGCACAAGCATAGCACGATAACAGAGAAAAAGCTTGGCTATTGTTCCTCAAGTGACTTCCACATTTATTTGTTTGTTTGTTTGTTTGTTTGTTTACAGATCGATAGACAGGGTCTCTCACTAGGGTCAACCTGTAGGGGGGAGAGCTGGATAACCAACTCTGAGGATCCATCTGTGTCATCTTTCCAATGCTTGGGCTCACTTTCCACATGCCCTCTTCCCCTCCTTGTCCTTTGTCTCCCTTGATGTTTAAAATGCTTTCTAGTGATAGAAGGCTGTGAAAACATAACTCAGTGTTTTTGAACATCATTTGTTTTCGTTCATATTCGAGCTAAGCTTCCGTATCAGTCAATCTTCTATTGCCAGGAGAAAACACCTGAGATTATTGACTTCAAAAGGACTAAGATCTTATTTTGGTTGACAGTTTCAGTCTCCCTTCAGTTCAGTGGCCCCTGCTGTGTTGAGGGGAAGTGTAATGAGGACCAGTCTTGTCTTCTCATGGTGGCTGGAAACAAAGGCAGAAAGAAGAGGGTCAGTGCAGAGTCCCAGTGGCCCTGGCTTCCTTCCACCATCCATTCCTCCAGTGGACTCTATCTCCTTGTAATAGTGTCAGAGCCTGAGGACAAGGCTTCTCAACAGGAGCTTTGGGGGGGTTTCAAGATCCACACAAAAATCAGACCCAGATGGCCCCCAGATATTTACAAGGTCATGGGGATCAGAGAGTAGAATGGATTCTTATAAAGCAATTAAAGCCATGGAATAATTAATAAATTAATGGTCACAATTGGGGAACCCTTATGGTGTGCTGTTGGATCTAATATATTTGCTTTGAAAAAGAATCCAAAAGCTAAGTAGCCTTGAGATCCTGTAGTGTTAGCAGAAATCTAATCTTTTCTGTGATTCTGTCAGACTCACAGCTGCTGCTGGTCCTCTGAGGTAGTGTATATTGCAGGGAGTCTTCCTTATTCTTCTCATTGTGTTCATTCAGCATTAGCACCGAAAGGTAGAAAAAAGGAAGAAATGCATGAAATTTGGCATAACCTAGAAATTTTCAATTATTAGAAAATAGCAATCAGGTAATATAAGGTATAAATAATAACACTCTTGGAAATATGGGATAGAGTTATATAAATAAGAGAATATAAGTGAAAGAACAAGAACGTGCATATCTGAAAAAATAGAATGCTGCTGATACTGGAGTATGTAAGGCAGAATAAGTTATTTCATAAGAAAAGTTTAAAAATGTATGTAAAGTTTGTTTCAAGCAGAAAAACACAGCAAAACATTTGAACTTGTGTGATACATTAACTAGTACTATGTTTTCTGCTATATTATGTTCTTTTGATTAATCAATTTGCGTATTATTATAAAAATTCTGAAATTATTGTGTGAAAATATTGTCTCTCAAAATGTATATGGCTGGATGAACAGGGGCATATTTTCCACTCTGACAATTTCATATATAACATTACTTATGACCAGCAGCACTTTCCCTTAAGTTCACTAATATTTATTTTTAAAACTGTTTTGAATTTCACTAAGAATTAATCAGGAAAATATGTTCTAATACTAAGGAAAATTGTATTGATATAATAAAACAGCTCAAATGTTAGAGTTTCCACACTTCTGAGGTACTTGCATTTTTAAGTATATTTCATATCCTCTTGATATGATACTTTCATCTTTCCATGTGGAGAAGGCTTTCCCTTCTGCATCTGCTTGTCAAGAGCTCGACCTTCCTGAATAGTGGATGAGTTTGGGAGAGACAGTCTTACAAGAACCTATGAAGTAATGTAGAGATTAATGAATTATACAGAGATTTTTAAAAAGTCAGATACAATGCCAATATTCCATGAAAGACATGCAAAATATTGGTCAAAATCTTGGATGAAGACTGCAGCTTAGAATCCAGTGTAAAGCTGGAACTCCTGCAGGTGCCTGAGACAAAGGACAGAAAGAGTTGAAGGGAGGTCTTCTCTGCTGTCTTCCTTCAGTTCACACAAGAGGAATCACATTGGTAGAAATAAGACATGGCATGAATGCCTTCTGCACACCCTTCAGAAGAACAGGTCTTTGTCTGCTCACTGAAAATCAGCCCCTTAATAAGCTATAGATTGAAGGGCATTGATATTCATCGTAAATACCTGTGCATCCATGTACCCTCTGTCTAATGGGCCACCTAGCCTTGGTGACAGAGCCTCTTCTGGAATCCCTGTCAGTCTCTGCCATCTCTCCTGGGTTAATAGATCTCAGTATACTTCTGTGGGGCACAAAGGTTCTCTGTTAAGCTACAGGGATTGGACATTTTAGTTTTTCTCTCCACCACTCCACTTGAAGAAGCTTTCTCTGGAAATGAGGCAGCTCATGTGCTGCCAAAAGAAAGGAGGGGGACCAAAGTACTCATGAACAGAGGTTAAAATGTGAGAAGTTTACCTTCTTGTAATTAAGTTTTATTATTCTCTGTGCATAGTATGTTACATTATTTCACACCAAAATTAGTGTGACATTATCAATTCTAGTGGGATTGAGTCCATGAAATATTAATGAGCTAGTTTTCATGCTTCGTATATAGGGCATGAACATAGCCCAGAACATCTGTGGGCTTCTGAGCGGCAGAGGGCTCACAATAATTACTCCATCTATACAATAAGTGTGACTAGACAGAATGGCCACAGGGGGGACAAAGAATATTTCCACCTAAAGTATGAGTAAAGAATTCAGAAAAGAGGGCATAATGAATTCAGTATGATTGATCCCTCATGCCAGTGTGTAAAGTAGAGTGATGTTGGCATGCACAGCCAGAGAACCTTGCATCCAATTTAACTTTGCCACCTCACATTGCATTTACTTAAACAAAGCAGTGACAGTGAGCTTAGTTTTTCTATCAATAAAGTTGAATGAGAGTACAAATCCCCACCTCACAGGGTTGTGGTACTGAGCAAATAAGATTAAATGTATGATAAGCAGTTTGAACACTTTTATTATTGATATGAGTACTGTTGTACACCACTGAATAAGGTTTCATACTTTAAAGTTAATATCACTGTTTATTCAACCATTTAATCAACCGTTCAGCAGCTACATTTTGAGCATTTATAATCTCTATGAGTTTATTCTTAAGTCCTACCTGAAGAGTTTAAGATAGGATTTCAATGACATACATAAAATGAGTTGTATTAAAACAGCAGCCCCTGGTATCTGATAGATTTGGGATTAATCCTAGGACCTGTGAAAACCTAGGACAATTCTTTTGGCATTACATGCCTTAGTTTCTCCATGTGAGGAAAGATAGGAACAAAAGTAAATGCCTTACATGGCCATCAGGAACATCAAATAAAGATCACATAAAGTACTGAGAACAACATATAAGATATAAGAACCACTCAGGGGTTTCTGCTACTACTGTTTTCCATAACAACTTTTAAATTGCACTTTTAAGTGTGAGCTATATCTTTTGAGATTGGAGCACATGAAAAGGACTGTGAGTTTGTAAAAATTGTGCTTCACTAGAAGAACTGAATTTAAATTCATTATACTTCATATAAATTTTTCTGAGAAATTTAAAGTTATTCTTTTTCAATTTTGTTCTGAATTGGATTTTTATTATGCTAATCCCCTAGTGACAACCTCAGTATTATTTGCAATTCCTCCTTTTTTGTGAAAAAAAAAAACAAAACAATAAGACTTTACCTTTACTTTTTTATCTTTCTTCCACGTAGGCTCAATAACTTAATCACAATTTATACATTTGTTTTTTTTTTATTAGCAGCCTTTCCCATGTTCACCTTCACTAAACTGGTTTAGGTATATAGGAAAACACAGTTGGGGAGAGTGTTCTCTTCCTTGTACTGAGCACATCCACTATCTTACTATTGCACAAGGAAATTTTTCATTTGGAAATAAATAATAAATAAAAAATTAATAGTTAGATCAAAGAATTCGGAACTGGCAAGACACTTACCTCATTTCTACACCTGTATCCTTCAGGTGTAAGACTTCTTCTTGGACTAATAGGAATGCAAAGCTCAAAGCATAAGTGACTACTCTTTGGAAAGATCACAGAACCATCAGATAAGACCGAGCTAGATCATAGATGTGGTGGAGGTTCAATAGTGTGGAGGCTGTTTGTTAGTTCATTTAAGAAACACAGGCTCCCAGGTCTCCACAGACCTGAGGTAAGAAGCTTTCGCTATTGATTGTGGTTTTCAATCATGTAAAGAGAGTACTAAGTCACGTTTTCATGGTCAGCTAACTGTAAATACAGTTCTCTTATTATTAAGGTTTGTTTACATTCTGGTGACCACAGTTCTCAAGGTGACTATAAGTCTGATCCACTGAAAAGAGTGAGTCATAGATAACCCACAAGATTGATGTAACTAAAGCCTTGAAGAAGCTCATCAGATCATCAGTTTTGAGACTCACATTGAGTATCTCAATTAAAATAAAAGATTTAAATGCCACTAAAGATTGCAATGATTGTTAACACACGTTTGTCTAAGATTTTACAGAGACAACTGAAAGGATGAAACGGCGCTGGTTGGTCGGCGGAAGAGTCACGGCCACGGCAGAGTTAGAAAGAGCTTTATTAGAAAGAAACCAGGCCTGGAGAGACAGAAAGATGGCGGGAGCAGAGCAGAGAGGAAACAAAAAAAGAAATAGGGTGGGGGTCCGTGTGTGTGCGCGGTTTTTTAAGGCAGAGATTGCGAGTCCACTGGGGTATGCAGTCGACCACGCCCCCCTGATGTTGTAAGACGTTAGACCCAGAAGAGTGAGAGCTCTTTATAAAGGAAAACTAAGCAAAATTTAATTATGCTGAGCTTTTTTAAAACTCTCTGTTATAAAAATTGTATTTGTCATACTTCCCTGCACTTTTCTGTTTCTAAAGTCTGCCCTTTTGACAATTATTTCTGTCATCTACTAGAAAATTCTTTACAAATTTTCAGAAGTATCTTCTACAATGTGTTGGGAAATTCTGTAAAGATTTAGTATGACCTAATGTTCAAAGGTCAAGTGAAACACTTGCTGTAAACCTGACAAGAAATGTGCTTGAAGCTCAAACCTCAGAATTATTTAGGAGAATAAAAAATTTTACTTCTGTATTCTTCACTGAAACATTGAAGTCCTTGGAAGCCTAAACTACTGAGCATAGCAATTCTTTATTTCTTATGTATTTTATCATATTTTATTTTCAGGTTTATATAAACATGGCCCATGGTACAAAAGCAATTAGCACTTTATTTTTAAAGCAGCAGTCAGGAACAGGCAAGAAAGAATTTCAACAATTTAATGAGGTTTGTGTACTTAATTATAACAAGGCCTTAGCTGGTACTTTTGAACCCATTGGTGGCCTTCAAAGAACCTGCTTTAGATCTTACTGGAACATTCTAGGTGCAGAAAGCAATGGCCACCAAAATCAGTAAGGTGAATGTAGATTTCCGAAATTAACATGTTCCCTATTTCACGTTATTCCTGCCACATCATTAGGATCCTTTCGACGTTGTTTCCCCAGCATCCAAAACTGTCCTATTGTAGCTGCTGCCGCGCTGCCCTGGACTGAAGCAGACTTGCTATGTGCTCCAGACCTATTGCAATTTCTCAGCTGCTGGAGCGTAGTGGTGACCCTCGGTTCATTGTTGTTTATTTTTACTTAGTATGTGTGTATGTACATGTGCTTGTGTTTCTATGTGTGTGGATGCAAAGTCTGTATGGGTTTTTATACATACAGAATCGAGTGGAGGACCATGACAACCTTAGGTGATGTTTCTTAGGTACCACACTTTTTTTTTTTTTTTAAGTTCTGAGTAGAATGGATCCAAGTGTGAAGGTAAAAATTATAAAGCTAGGGAGAATCCTCTATCTAGATTTGAAGCCACAAGGCTTTCTGGCTTATCAATGTTACATCATGCATTCAATTTTGAAGTCAATTTCCTTCAAATGTTAAGTCTGGAAATCCAATGCAAATGTAGAGTTATACATAGATAAACTGGGATCCTAAGAGTAGAAAGAACAGAAGTAGTTGAGTGTCACATCAAAGTGTAATTTGCTGTTTCATTTGTGTACACAGTCTTCTTAGATTAAAAAAGATTCCCTAGGTGTTTTGCTTGGCTTGGTTCGCATAAGATACATTTGAAAAACAAGTTATCTATCAATTCACAAACATGTCTTTCACACAGACAGGCACACACAAGCACACACTGTTGAAAAGCAAAGTATTTCTCCAAAAGAAGTCTTAATTAATTAATTCTCAAAGGCATGTTCTTGTGTAAACAAGTAAAAGAGACACTTGATTTTGATTGACTTTTTTGGCAAGTTTTATATAAGTCTTGTTTGGTTGTATAGGTTAGGTATAGAAGTTCCCAACTGCCATTTTGAACTGTGGCACATATTTTCTGTGGTTCTACCCTAATTTGGTTCCCAATCACAACTGTACAGGAAACGAGCTATGCAGGCAAATGTGAACAAACCCGTTGTCATGCCCTCCTTGTGTGTACAGTTAACATCATTTCTCAAAACTCATCAGCCTTCAAATCATGTTGACAGTTTGGAGACTTAAGGTCACTTATAAATTAGACAACCTCCTCATTCCCTCTCTAAAGGAGGAGGGGCAGGAGTCATGGTAGTCACAATTTGAAATGTTTTGCTGTATTAGAACAGTAAAAACAGATACATTGAAAGAAAAAAAACTTATGCCCTGCAAAAGAAAATAGCCGTTCCATTGATGCCTATGGTCAAATCTGATGAAATAGCTGTGACTCACATTGAGAAATTCCTATTGATGTCTTGTGTGGTAACAATTCAGAAAGACATTTACTTACAGCTGAGGCTGGAATAGAACTTGTGATCCCTCTGACTTAGCCTCCCTGGTATTGGGATCATGGGCTTGTAACATTATGCTTAAATTAACAATTATTTTTAATCCTTAATAAAATAAAGAGGGGAGTAGCCATAGATGTGAAGAAAAAAATACTCCAGGAAGCAGAGGATGCAAGCATTGACATCATGGCATATCAATACCTAATTCCCATCAAGAATAATCTATGAAGCCTTTTTAGTTTTAAAAATTACAAAGACTAATCAAGGCCTCTGAAGCTAATGAAGATGTTTAGCAGCTACAGATTAATCTCTTCTCAACCTGAAAACATGGGTTGATTTTCTTTTTTCCATTTTGCTTGCATAAAGGATGATTATCTAGAAGACATTTAAAACTCCCAATTCTTTAATTTTTAAAACTGGATATACTATATGAAGAATAGAAAGGCTCTAAAATATTCAGATTTATATATTTAGTAGAGGTCAATGGTGACTTTATCTTTTGAGCCCAGAGGGTTGTCTCCAAAGTCGGTTTGTTCTTACAGAATGGAGTGCAAATTACTGTTTTGGGTAATGAGAATTAAGTGTTAGATATTACATTTGTCCATCTTATTAACTGTGAAGGCAGAATTCTTCACTATAATTTAATTATAACATTGGCTTTGATGACCTATGTGGATCACTCCCTATAAAGTCCCTTTCACATTCCCAGCTCACCCTATAATCTGTTATCTAATAGTGCATAGGGCATATAGCAGCTTCTTAATGTAACCTGTGTTAGTTGTCTCTCTTCATTGTAAGAAATGTCTGGAAATCATTTTGCAGGAAGACCATTTGATTTTGTTTTAAAGGTCTTGGCTACGACTGGTTGGTCCCTTTGGTTTGCACCTACGGTGAGGGTGTGTAGCTGAGTGGCACTTCTTACCTCATAGCATGATCCCAAAAGACTAAAGTAGTCTTATCACTTAAATCTTGCACTACTTCTAAATATTGTCAAGCTGAAGATCAAACCTTTATAACATGGGGCTTTGTGGAAACATTCTATATACAAACCACATATTCAACTTACATGAATTTATCATCACCAACTCAAATGTTGGTATCATTACTAATTGTAATAAGATGCAAAGATGGAAAACTAATGAATAGCAAAGTGCCTGAGTAGAAGACATTTTAAAGAAAAATTAACACAGTCTGTTAAATTGCTGTAACAAGATAACTCATAAAGGCCACTTGAGAGAACTTTAATTTCACCTATGGTTTTACGGAATATCAGTACACAGATGCCAAGAACTGATGGTGGCTGGATTGCCTCTGTCCATAGCATGCAGTGGCAGATTGTTCACAAGGACCAGAAAGACAAGACCTCAAGACAAGACCATAAATGGGTATCCTTCAAACACCTGCCCCCAGCAAGTCCCTGAACTTAGCAAGCTCTCATGTCTCAAAGGTTTGACAACCTCCAAGAGGAGTGTTAACATAAGAGAAGCAAGTGTTCAAACCCGCAAACCTGTGGGGTAGCTACATTTCCAATTCAAACTATACTATAACCTTTCAAGGTAGGTATGCCTTACAGTCTGAGAGAGCGGTGGTTGATCAGAAGATACTGTGTGGTGCACAATGTAAGCAATTGTTCTCAGATATTTCCTAGTTAGATTATTGTCTGATAGTTTGCCTAAGAGTGTCAGCTGCATTTGTTTAAAGACAAAGCTACCAAGAAACAGATTTTAAATTTTGTTTGAATCTTCCCAATGAGGAGTCTCTGTGGATTTTTACAAGTGTCTGCTAACAAATATAACCACTTAACCCCTTCCCAGCTGTCTGAGAGAACAAGTGACTGAAATTAGGAAGGCAAGAAATTGACAGAATGAATTTCAACAAAATCCTCTGTGTAATTGCTCAGATTGATGAAATTTTAAAATAAGCATAATGATTTGACAAGTGTAGCTGGGGACCGACTCTTCTATTGGGATTTCAGTGTCTTTGCAGGACTATATTTCTCAGCTCTAAAATACATGGAAACCAAATGAGTTAAGTTCACTTACACACAGAAAATTTGACTACCTATACTGCAAAATTTATTGTAATATTTTATAGGAAAATGATACAGATCAAGTAGTATTGTAGGCACTGAGTCACCATAATTAATGGTATCCCAAGTATAAACAAACTTAAATAATAAAGAGATCATAGAAACATCATTGAAGGTTGTTTAATACATCTTTACTCATATGTTAATGTTTCTAGTCCTGGGTACATTCATGTATACATTAATAGAACACAGCTATGATTTTTACTTTTTAAAAAAAGTTAATATATTTACATCTTATAAGATCGGTGCATTTTACAAAGGGAGAGCAATATCAGAATTGCCTAGGTATCACTTTTTTTCAAAATTCAGCTATATAGCCATCTGCACATATATATTTGAGGGCCTATGATAATGATTTAATTGTAAATATTGCCAGGCGGTGATGGTGCATGCCTTTAATCCCAGCATGTGGGAGGCAGAGCCAGGCTGATCTCTGTGAGTTCGAGGCCAGCCTGGTCTACAGAGTGAGATCCAGGTCAGGCACCAAAACTACACAGAGAAACACTATCTTGAAAAAAAAAATATTCTCTATTCCAAGAAAATAACATTGAGGCATTTTAAATATATTTCTCTAACCATGTTGTCACAAAGTTTAGGAATGAAATGAACCTGAATTAATTTTCTCTTGAATCCTTCATTTATGCATTCATTCAAAGAATATTTGCTATGTACTACATATGCCTTGAGAAAACAATCGTAAAGCAAAGAGGCTTCCAGCTAGTTGAAAAACTAATCATCCTCAAGCAGAAAATCCAAACTTAGAAACAAGAAGAAAGTAGAGAGGTCCACCTACCATGTGGTGTCTTCATATTTTGATGATATCACTGTCTCCACAGGCACCCAAGTCCTTCCCAATGGAACACCAATCCCTTATGCACTTGACATTTCCTTCCTTCAGATATTGGAAACTCACTGTAATTTTTTAAAGCGATTAAAAAATTTGGGCTCAAGTGTAAATGGATTAAAATTTTTCCCACTTATCTGTCAAATCTAATCTGAATAGTACTTTTATATTGAGCATACTAAAAACACTCAAAAGTGGATATTTATAAAGCTAGGTTATGATTTTTTTTAAAAAAATGTTTTCTTATTACAGACCTTGTAGAGTTCCTTTCCTGGTACAAAAAATAAAATAAAACAATAAACAAACCATGAATATTTAAAACTACCCTAAAATTTGTATTTCTTCCATTTATAAATATGTATTGAGTACTAGCTGTCATGATCTGGGAATGTCAAAGATATCTCCTTCCCCAGACATTTTACTGTAACTAGAGGGTTGTAATATAAATGTATTAAATGGAGTAAGAAAATTCCAAATTCAAAATGTCCATTTACAGTGATAAGTAAGAAAAATCTTTCAAGTCTTACCCTTAAGTAATTATTTTTCTTGGTCCTTGTCATCATTTTCATTAATAGATCAGTTTGATAAATAATACAAATACCAAACGGTTGGTCTTAAAACTGTGACAAAGCACAAGTCATTTACAGAGTTGGTGAGAAAAAAAGGAAGGGACATGTGGTTGGTTGAAACCCTAATGAGTTCCTATACATTCATTTAATAAGTTTTCTTCATCCAGAAGAAACAGGAGGAGGTGACAGCTTTTATTCAGCCTAAGAATCGGAAATGAAGCTACAATGTAGATGTATGCAGCTTTATTGGTACTATCCACAGGACAATCCCTCCACCCTCTGTCTCTCTGTGCCCCCCCACCCCCCAGCTTCCATTCTAAAATGCCTTTTCTTCTATTTTAATAGAAACCATTTACCAGCTACACAGCAGTACAAACTATAATAAGGAGGTCTGGACAGGTTTAGCACCTGTATCCTGGTCTTGAATATTTGCAGACTCGCAAACAACTCTACCTTCTTGCCTGTCTGTCCCTTTCCTTCAGGTGAGGCATGACTGCATGTGTGTTGCTGTCTCCTTGGCACCTCTCTGCTTTTCTTTGTCAGAAGTCTGTTGATCACCAGGGCTTTCTTTTCTTCCCTGACTTAGGGAGCAGGAAAACAAAGGAGATGATTCCTGTAGGGTAAAGGGGTTGTGATTTTTAGTGTTCCCCAGTAGACTGACTACCCTGATGTTATTATTTACTAAGGACTGGGGGGGGGGGGCAACTATGATATATGTCTGTGGCTGGAGACAGGAGAGGGAGGAGACAACAGAAGTTTCTATTACAAGTAAATTTAGGCTGAGGTTTGTACAGCACCCTATACATATTCTTTACATTAATTTCTAAATGCTGAAATTCAGCCATTAGCTAGAAAGTTAAAAAACTAAACAAAGCCAACAAAACTCTCTGAACTCTCAACTCTCTGAACAGTTGAAGTATAAAAATTTCATTAAAACACAGAAGAAAACAGTAAAGCTGAGCACATTCGTTTCTTCAAGTACTCAGACTCTGTAGATCGTCAGTGTGTGCACAGTGTGCATTTTCTTTCCTCACTTCTTCAAGGTAGCATTCAGCCACACCTCTCAAAACAGGAAAGGCAGGAACAAAACCAAACCAACCACTTGTGTCTTGTTTGCGCTAAGCTTGAAGCATGTTATAAGCAAGAGAAAGCAGAATCACAAAATTCCAGTGACCTGAAGTTGATCTAATGAGTCTGCAATTGCTGCTATTTCAAATACAAAAACCAAAGTAGAAAAATGTTGGAGTGGACCACCACCACTGGTTATTTCTTCCTCTGCATTGAAAAGAGAGCAGCCATGTCGTTTAAGAGCAACACCAGCTGAGAATTAGGACGCATGCATTCTGCTTGGAGTCCTCTTCATTGGATGCTGACATCTAGTTCCCAGTTGTAAAAGGATAATAATGAATCATTCACAGAGCTGCCTTGGTAATTTAATCAAAGAATATTACAAGTAAAATATAAGTACCTAAACAACTATAAGCATTACGTCTACTACTTACTGATATGTTTTAAGATGGTTTTCAAATACTGTCTTTATGCTCTACCTCTATGTGCATAAACATTCCCAAAGTGCACAGAACAATTCTCTCTTTGGCACAGTAGCCCAGAACTGTCACCCCCCAATCCTATATTTGTTCTTTTTTTGAGATTAGAAAATAATTACAACACTTTTCCTCCATCCAGTCCTCCATTATATCACCCTTGTTCTCTTTCAACTCATGGCCTTCTTTTTCATTTGTCATAAACAATATTTTAAACAAGTATATAATTTTACACTAATTATAAGAAATATAGACAATGAAGTAATGAAAAAGTTGCATGATATATACATATCTGTTTCTTACATGTGATTTATAGATCTGTATCCATCTATGCTAGTGTATTGTATTAGTATATTAATTTATCTTCACATCTATAAAGAAGAAAAGTAAAGAGCATGGAACAGTTTTAATATAGAATGTAAAAAATAGTCCAATTGTGTGATTTCCTTTTATTGGACATGTACTTATTTTTCAAAAACCATTGCTTAAAAAAAAAAAACCAATGTAAACATGAAATGTATAACTCTTTTTCCACACATGTTATCCTGAGATTTAGTAGCACTTAATAAACCTCTCTCTGGGGGATTGGGAGACCACCTGTAAGAGCTTTTCCTGCTGTAATGGGTTTTCACAAGGGGCATTTTTCTGACTTGATGGGCCTTAGTATGCTTCTGTAACATAGTGATGGCTCCTCCTGCAATCTTACCAGCAGTAATGGGGGAAAGTCACAAAGCATGGAGGGGAACCTAGGAAACAGAGAAATGATGCTGGCAAGGACAGAATTCAGTTCTAATGAACAAAAAGGAGAAACTCGACAGTGGAAGCCTTCTCATCCTGGGACAATAGTGAATTTCAGACCTGTGGCCCTTTCTTTATAGGTCAGTTTAACCCAAGGCTTCTAAAAGAGAATACAGGCAGAGAGAGCAGATATAAAGTTTATGCATTCATAGAATTTAGGGGAAACTGTGATAGCAAACTATAGAAATTATTCTATACTATTTTTAAAACTATAATGAACTTAAACAGATTAAAATCATGTTTGTTGTATATAAATATAGTAAACAATCACAAGAAAGAAAGAGACAGAATCCACATTTGCTCCAAGGAAATTTCAGTACATGTGTTTTCCATGAGCCAAGGATTAAAATGCTTTGATGTGACAATAAAGCAATTAGGAGGGCTGGAGAGATGGCTCAGAGGTTAAGAGCGCTGGCTGCTCTTCCAGAGGTTCTGAGTTCAATTCCCATCAACCACATGGTGGCTCACAACCATCTGTAATGAGATCTGGTGCCCTCTTCTGGCCTGCAGACATACATACAGGCAGAACATTGTATAAACAATAAATAAATAAAAATCTTAAAACAAACAAACAAATAAATAAATAAAGCAATTAGGAAAGTCCAAGAAAGAAATACAATTTTAAATTATATTTGAATAGCAATAAAGCAGTCAATCATGATAAAAAAAAATACCTGTGATGTAGAAAAAATGGTTTAAACGGATTTTTCAAAATGCAAGGGGTCACAAAAAATGATAGACGAGGAACCAAGTGTGATAATGAAGTGGCAGACACAAACAATTCATTTTCCCAAGCACAACAAAGAAAAATGAACTAATAGTCAAAAGAGAATAAAGTAAAATCAAATAAAAATTCCTGGCAGATAACAAGAGGTCAATATGTACCAGGCAAAATGAAGTACAAGACAACAATGGAAGACTCCAGAGACTGACAAAAGAATGATCAGGCTTCCTTCAAAGGTGGCTTAGTCCCAGCAGCAACATACAGAATTGTGATAATAAATGCCATCACAAGTCGAAATGTATTTGTTGATTGTCATATGATAGGTGGATGGCCAACCAATAGACTCTACAGTGCAAATTTTGCAATATCTTTGATCATATAACAGAACAGTATACAATGAAAACACTGGCAGTCACTCCCCAAGATGTTGAGTATTGAGGAAAATGCCTTCATTTTTGTTTTGTCTATGAAATATATAAATAAAAGCTCTGGTGCATTTTTAAAGGAGAGAAAAAATAGAATCTCATAAAACAGTTGAGTGCTTGAAAAGTAGTCTGAGAGGAAAGAATTATTTCTCTGAGAACTGTCAGGGCTGCAGGGGAGTTAGAGAAAGAAATGCACTGGGTAGGAAGGTCATAGTTCCCGTTAGACATCAAGTGGCCCAGACCAGCATCTGTTGGATTTTGACCTTTGTCCATTTGTTTCTTCTTAGATATTTGTGTCTATATTTCATATGAAGAACTGAAAGGGATCCTGAGAGTTTTCAGATGTGGAAGCAAACCCATGAAGAGATGAGAATGAAAACTCAGTTCAGATTGGCTTCATCAACTTGGATCAGACTTCCAGAAACTGACTCCAGGTTGCCAGGTGGATCATTGTTAGCGTATTTAAAACACAGCACAATTTTGGGAAAAGGTTTCTGGGCAATAATCATTCCAGTTCCAGGTGAGCAGTAAAGCTTAAGGTGTGATTACTTAGAAACTCTTTTACAAAGTACAAATGACCATGAAGATGGATTCTATAGCTAAAGGGTCTAGGATCTGGTGTGGTCCCTGACTGAGCTGGCATATTGGTCAGTAGGTTATAAAATACATGTGACACCCCCCACAAGGATGGGTTCTCTTAACTGGGGGCTAAGAGGGAGATTATCGGATAAACATTCTGGGGGTTTAGGTGAGGTCTCCCTCTATAGCAAAGGTGAGTGAGGTCGGCTGCCACAGATAGCAAAAGAGGTCACCAGGCCCTTAACAAAATCCATCACCAGCTTTCTGGGAAGAAAACAAGTATTTTATCCCCTCAATTGAAAAGAAGCCCCTGCATGTTTAACATTCCTGGTTTCCATGGTGTTCTATGAACAAAATGACCTTTGTGCTCCCAACAAAGAAAGGGGTGAAGTACTGTTTGATGAATGAAAGAGAATTGAATTAGTAACAGTAATATGAATTTCTAAAGCCTTTTCTGAATTGCAAAATAATGTAAACAAAGACATAAAAATTGACAAAAGTTTAATTTTTACAATGTTTACATGCATATTCTACAGTTGAGTAGTATCCTAGATCTAAGATAGGTCATTCCCCTCCCATGCCCAGACTGTTTTTATGCCATTTGAACAAAATCAAAAGAATGTGACATATCTTTGTATCCTGACTGGCTGGAATTGGCAATGGCCTTAATATGGACCTGCTCTGGTCAGTTAGGATTCTGTGACTGCTAGAGATCAGCTTTTGGGATCGGATTTGGAGACTATAGCGAAGAGCAACCATGCTAAGTTACAAGCTAATTAATATACACACCACCATATCTGCAAGTGCCTTCAGCAAAACTTTGTGATCCAGGTGCAGAGAAAGGCTTAAGCCAATTTTATTTGAGTTTAAATGAACCAACATAACGCCATTTAATGCAAACAACAAATTTGAAGAGTATCCATGAGGCTGATCAGTCACCTTTTTTTGAAATTTTATAAAGAAATTGCTTCATAAGATTCTTTTGTAAAGTTGAAATGTATCTGTTAAAGGATTTACAGATACCTTCATAACCATTTACACCACAGAACAACACATACATGCCTCAGTATGTTTTGTACTTGGGGCGGCACAGATATTAACCACTTAGTGACTAACACAGTACAAGAAGCTCAAGTAAAGGTAAAAATGAAATACTTAAAAATCCTAAAACAACCAGAATCTGTGACTTTAAACAATGCCCAGGGCAGCCCAGAGTTATATTGCTTCAAACCCTTTCTTTCTTTGTAGATTGCTCTTAGCAATCATAATTGGAGAAAGTCAATGTCAACATAAATCACAGTCTATTTTCCAATAAGAAGAGTGTTTCTGGAAACAAATGATCAAGACACACTTGAGATTTTGAAGCTAACCTGCATGGTGAAGACAGATTAAGCATCATAAGATCATTATTTGCTTATTTTTGCAAGCAAATTCAATTACTAAGGGTAACTGGTACGATGAACCTAGCCTGAAAGGTTTTGTTCAATTTGGAAATGTGGTAAGGATTTCAGAACAGAAGAGATATTTCATTGCTTTCTAATAT